GTCACCGAAGTCGGCCAGCGTGACATCGGCATCGCCCTCGACGAACAACACGCCCTCGGCGGTGCAGTCGACGGCCAGCTTTCGCCCAGCGCCGGCCAATTCCCTCAACCTACCCGCAAAAGGGTAGTAAAAAACGAGCGTTTTGGCCAGCGCCTCCTTGATCACTTTCGCCGGGTCCTTCCCTTGCATGGAGGGCTCGTACTCGTAGAACTGAATCACCGGAATCAGGAACCGGAGACTGTCTTGGTCGTCGATGTCGGAGAGAAGTTTGAGCTCTCTTGGGGTGTCCTTGGCCGGAGCCACAAGCTCCGGTTGGGACCTTTTTACCCTGAACACTAGAGACCCTGCCATAATACTAGTGTTGATACTTTAATTATTATGTGTCACCACTATTAGCTAGTACTATAGGGAATATGTGATAAATGATGGATGAAGAACATGCATATATAGAGATATTACTATGAAAGAGCGATATATATATATATATATATATATATATATAGTATACACACTATAATGGGGGACAAATGCAATTGGGCATGGCCCGCATTTTTTTTTTTTTTGGGGGAGTGGGCTGCTTGGCTGCTTGCTATACTATATATCTCAATGAGGATTGGCTCAATATGCTTTTGAAATATAATTGGCTCCACTAACTAGCTGGTCTAGTGGTCTACGTTTTATTGTTATTTACTTATTAAATTATTTGGTATAATCAACATCTCGTGATTCGTGGCTCAGACTTTTCTTTACATATTTTCTTCGTCGTGGCTGTCCTTTTTTTATCTATTTACTATTTCTTTCTTTCATTAGTTCACGATACCATTGTAATGAGACACGCTCATTCAAATTTTAAGAGTTTTTCTTTTCACAAGAAAAGTAGTGGAAATTTACACTTCTTTTTTCCTAACAAAGTTAGGTATAAAGTCTTCAAGACTATTGAAGAAAGTGGAGATATATATATATCCCATCAAAATGAAGCAAGAATTATTAATGTCTCGTTTATTTCACAATTTAAGTCTTGTTGTTACAGTATTTTTTCTCAAAAAAATTCAAATTTAATTTTTTTATTATAATATTTTTCTCTCACATACACAACTCAAGTTCTTAATTTAAATAGTAAAACATACCCTAAATGAATACTAAGATCGTTGGGATATTTCTCTCTTGAAATTAATCAACTTAAATATAACCATTTAAATGGAAAAAAAAGGACTTGCAAATAGAATAAGATCAGGAAAAAAAAAAAAAAAAAAAAAAACTATCTGTCAAAAAACTGGGGCGTGCAGATCCATCGTGTTTTTGTTTATTTATTCATGGTTTTTTCTAAAGAAAAAGCAAAGTCAAACAATGGCCAAAGAAAAAGCAAAAGCAAACAATGAAGGCCATTATTGGTACCTACCAAATAAATTAACGACTATAGTAATCTCCATCCACAATATTATCTATAGGAGTCATGATTACCAACGAAATTAAACACGCTCTTAATTTATTTGATATATTGGTCATTATTTGCTAGCTCCTTAATTAATCTGCAGACTAATTTGATCATCTGATCATTATCACGTGTTGCGAATATTGGTGACTATACTCATAACATAATACACCACCACACACACATAGACACACATATATATTTATATAGAGTAGATAGATAGATATTTTGTGTAGTTGATTTCAGTCTCAGATCCGGACCCCATAATTTTCTTTTTTTTTTTACTTTATTGAAGAGAATAAGTAGACTTTCAAATCATCTTCGTGCAGCCATTTCTTTTCAATTATATATATATATATATATATATATATATATATATATATATATATATATATATATATATATATATATATATATATATATATATATATATATATATATATATATATATATATATATATATATATATATATATATATATATATATATATATATATATATATATATATATATATATATATATATATATATATATATATATATATATATATATATATATATATATATATATATATATATATATATATATATATATATATATATATATATATATATATATATATATATATATATATATATATATATATCAGTTTTTCATCCTTTTTGTCAATGGCACAAATGAAAGTATCTTTCGGAAGCAGCCAAACCACCAAAACACAAATAAATTATCAATTTATTATGGAATAAGAAAGGGCTCTTTCCAAACATATAAGGGGACGACTTCTATTGTCAGCATCGGCAGTAGTCTGTAGACTAAACTAATTAAGGATGAACGTTTATTTGTTTGTTTGTTTTTTT